ATCCTGTCAAGCCAATATTGACATCCCGTCCCATCAGCCCGTTCTGACAAGCATTCCCGCCACCCCCCCCCCAACAGATCCTGCCTGTGTCATCTCGACTAACGTTACTTTGCATGTGTCGTTGCCAGAGGCGTAGCGAGGGTGTTTGGCGCCCGGGGACAAGATTCGCGCCCCGGGACAAGATCCATTTTAAAGCGCCCCTTTTTCTTTTTTTCAACTCTCAAACCCATTATTTCCATCAATAATATAATATCAAAGCACATTTTGGCGCCCCTAACTAGCTGGCGCCCCGGAACATCTGTCCCTCTCTACCCTCCCCTCGCTACGCCTCTGGTCGTTGCTATAGATGAAAATGTCATTCATGTGGTCATAGGCCACATCCCAATAGCAGTGAACAAATTTTAAAAAATAGAAAATATCAAGAACGAACTGAGCAATTGTGATAGAATCCACTGAGTTTTCCCACTGGAATCTCGACTGCCTTTTGTAAAATGAGATCAAAAGTTTTTGCAGTAAAGATGACGATTATAAATAACCTGCTCAATAAAATTGTTATCGATTTATTTAATGATCATAATGGACGTAGTGTAGCATAAATGGAGGATAACGAATCCAAAAGATGACAAAAAAAAAAAAAAAAAAAAAAAAAAAAAACAAAAAAAAAAAAAAAAAAAAAAAATTAAAACAATGAATATATTATTTTTAGTCTTGATTTTTAGGCTGGTTTACGATAATCGGATTTCAGGTTATCGATGTCGAAAACAATAATCGATTGTTGATTTTTTAAACAAAAATTTTAATGGATTTATTTGCATCACTTTTTATATAGAGCATTAAAAAAAATCTACATTTTTTGTTATTAATTAACAAATAAAAATACTTTAAGGAATAGCCTAGTGTGTCTATTATATAAAGCCCAGTCACTGAGTCAGTGTGACTATGTTTGTTTGTTTGTAGATGGGTCGATCGATCAAAAGGAAATCAAACAACAATGGATCGCAATCAAATTTGACATGATCATTCCTCCTGACCTACATATTATATTCTCTGGAAAGTTTGGTCATAATTCTCCTATCCCAAAAGCTGTCATTAAAAAAAAAAATCTTAAGATGAAGAGAGTAAAGAGTAAATGTAGAGAGTAAAGAGTAAGATGCAGAAAGTAAAGAGTACGATGTAGAGGGTAAAGAGTACGGTGTGGAGAGTGAAGAGTAAGAAGCAGAGAGTAAAGAGTACGATGTAGAGGGTAAAGAGTAAAGAGGGTAATATGTTGAGAGTAAAGAGTAAGTTGAAGAGAGTAAAGAGTAAGATGTAGAGGGTAAAGATTAAGATGTAGAGAGTAAAGAGTAAGATGTAGAGAGAAAAGAGTAAGATGTAGAGGGTAAAGAGTAAGATGTGGAGAGTAAAGAGTAAGATGTAGAGGGTAAAGAGTAAGATGCAGAAAGTAAAGAGTACGATGTAGAGGGTATAGAGTAAGATGTAGAGAGCAGAGTGTGAAGAGTAAGATGTAAAGGGTAAAGAGTAAGATGTAGAGGGTAAAGAGTAAGATGTAGAGGGTAAATAGTAAGATGTAGAGGGTAAAGAGTAAGATGTAGAGGGTAAAGAGTAAGATGTAGAGGGTAAAGAGTAAGAAAATATTAATTTTAATGACGTTCAAGTTAAGTTATTTTTGGAGTAAGCATTTTAATAATCCTTGATTCAGAACGGTGCGCTTTCAAACATCTGTTAGGGAAATGTTTGCGGCCCATCTTAATTTGGTGCATGCTTTTTAAAGAATGCTTTATTCTATGTGCTTTAAACAAAATATTTGAAAAAAGTTTTTCAACAAACGATTTGATGTTTAAATCTTTGTTATTCTTTAATTATACGGAAAAAACGTGTTGCACCATTTAATAAACTACAGTTCTTTGTATGGTACAAGGAAGTTGAAAATTAGATTAGAATTGTCACATTGTTCAGGGGCGTGTATTTAGGATGCTTTGTTACACCTAGGGGGCCTTTTATTAATTTTTTATTACCAGTTATATAGAGTCGATGTGTGTGTGTGGCGGGGGGGGGTGGGGCGGGGTAGGCAGAATCGTAAGTTTGTGACTTAGCTCCAAATCAGTTTGTACAACGGCGTCACTGAATATGTGGGTGGGTGCATTTTATGCAATGTGCTAAGAGCACAATTTGTTACACAGTTAACAATTTCAGTCCATAGTAGACTTTTCTTTTTTTTTAATCAAGTTATTAACATGTTAAACAGTCATTTAAAAGTTAGTAAGTGCCTCACACAATACGTTTCTGTCAAGGTTTGTTACTGGTGTAACTTAATGATACAGGATTGTTACAGTACAACGGTGCAAGAAAATGAACAATGAAAAATCCAGAATACTTTATTAGTATACATTTCATTAATTTTATGTCTTAAATAATTGTAAGGATAAATTAATACGATTTCGAATGTTCAAATCACGTATCTTTTTTGTATACTATGCATCTACTATACACATGAGAAATATGTCTGTTTGTACTGCATACATTTCAACATAGAATAATGGATCTTGCTCAAACTTAGGATATAAAGTTGTTTCACATCATTGGAATGTTTAGTCAATGTGGTGGTATTTCAATAAGTGATACAACTATGTAATGGTTAGTCATTGTGGTGGTATTTCAATAAGTGATACAACTATGTAATGTTTTAGTCATTGTGGTGGTATTTCATTAAATAATACAACTATGTAATGTTTTAGTCATTGTGGTGGTATTTCAATAAGTGATACAACTATGTAATGTTTTAGTCATTGTGGTGACATTTCAATAAGTGATACAACTATGTAATGTTTTAGTCATTGTGGTGATATTTCAATAAATAATACAACTATGTAATGTTTTAGTAATTGTGGTGGTATTTCAATAAGTGATACAACTTTGTAATGTTTTAGTCATTGTGGTGATATTTCAATAAATAATACAACTATGTAATGTTTTAGTCATTGTGGTGATATTTCAATAAGTGATACAACTATGTAATGTTTTAGTCATTGTGGTGATATTTCAATAAATAATACAACTATGTAATGTTTTAGTCATTGTGGTGACATTTCAATAAGTGATACAACTATGTAATGTTTTAGTCATTGTGGTGGTATTTCAATAAGTGATACAACTATGTAATGTTTTAGTCATTGTGGTGACATTTCAATAAGTGATACAACTATGTAATGTTTTAGTCATTGTGGTGACATTTCAATAAGTGATACAACTATGTAATGTTTTAGTCATTGTGGTGACATTTCAATAAGCGATACAACTATGTAATGTTTTAGTCATTGTGGTGACATTTCAATAAGTGATACAACTATGTAATGTTTTAGTCATTGTGGTGACATTTCAATAAGTGATACAACTATGTAATGTTTTAGTCATTGTGGTGATATTTCAATAAATAATACAACTATGTAATGTTTTAGTCATTGTGGTGACATTTCAATAAGTGATACAACTATGTAATGTTTTAGTCATTGTGGTGACATTTCAATAAGTGATACAACTATGTAATGTTTTAGTCATTGTGGTGATATTTCAATAAATAATACAACTATGTAATGTTTTAGTCATTGTGGTGGTATTTCAATAAATAATACAACTATGTAATGTTTTAGTCATTGTGGTGGTATTTCAATAAATGATACAACTTTGTAATGTTTTAGTCATTGTGGTGATATTTCAATAAATAATACAACTATGTAATTTTTTAGTTATTGTGGTGGTATTTCAATAAATAATACAACTATGTAATGTTTAGTCATTGTGGTGGTATTTCAATAAGTGATAAACTATGTAATGTTTTAGTCATTGTGATGGTATTTCAATAAATAATACAACTATGTAATGTTTTAGTCATTGTGGTGGTATTTCAATAAATGATACAACTTTGTAATGTTTTAGTCATTGTGGTGATATTTCAATAAATAATACAACTATGTAATGTTTTAGTCATTGTGGTGATATTTCAATAAGTGATACAACTATGTAATGTTTTAGTCATTGTGGTGATATTTCAATAAATAATACAACTATGTAATGCTTTAGTCATTGTGGTGGTATTTCAATAAGTGATACAACTATGTAATGTTTTAGTCATTGTGGTGATATTTCAATAAATAATACAACTATGTAATGTTTATCATTGTGGTGATATTTCAATAAATGATACAACAATGTAATTGTTTTAGTCATTGTGGTGATATTTAATTGGGACAAATTTGTACACAAAAAAATATCGAAGCTCAATAATAAAAAGTCATACCATGAAAATAAAACATTGATATGTCATAAGCGCATTCATAACATTCTCTTAGATACACTTAGAATCAGCTCAATATGAGCGTCATTAGCCACTTAGTCATTAGTCACTAGTTATTAGTGACTTAGTCATTAGCCACTGAGTCAGTCACTATTCATTAGTCACAAGGTGGCATCGGAATGTTCCAAGACATTGATGGACACGTGCCTTTCAACCCATTCCATGTTGATATTTTGAGAGTCACTGTTTACCAACTTCCTGAATGAGGATGCCGAGTCATGTCCTGTTGTTACACGTGTTTTTTTGTAACCATCGATTTGGACTGGTTACGAGGTGAGAATCCCTGCATTGTCTGGGTTGATAGAATCATGAAAACAGTTCACTTGCAAAACGTTTATAAGGTTCCAGATTGGCCCAGTTCATCTGCTACAAAGACACACCACCAGTTCATCTGCTACAAAGACACACCACCAGTTCATCTGTCACAAAGACACACCACCAGTTCATCTGCTACAAAGACACACCACCAGTTCATCTGTCACAAAGACACACCACCAGTTCATCTGTCACAAAGACACACCACCAGTTCATCTGTCACAAAGACATCGCCAGTTCATTTGCTACAAAGACACACCACCAGTTCATCTGTCACAAAGACACATCGCCAGTTCATCTGTCACAAAGACATACCACCAGTCCATCTGTCACAAAGACACACCACCAGTTCATCTGTCACAAAGACACACCACCAGTTCATCTGTCACAAAGACACACCACCAGTTATCTGCTACAAAGACACACCGCCATTTCATCTGTCACAAAGACACATCGCCAGTTCATCTGCTACAAAGACACATCGCCAGTTCACCTGTCACAAAGATACACCACCAGTTCATCTGCTACAAAGACATCTGACATCGCCCTTTTCAAACCCATTGTTTAATTTGAGGCTTTTTCTGAATGTTAAGCTCGAGTCCTGCAAGGGTTTTTGAACGTGGACACACATCAAAGGGTACATACGTTCGGGATGACCAATCAATAGCATAGAAGCCAGAAAATACAATGAGATTTCATCAGTTCGGTCACCAGGACGGACTCACGTTCATCACGGAGTCTTGTCTTGTCTTGTGAAAGGAATCACCTGAGTCTGTCATTTCAGCAATTAGTTGTGGAGTATATCAAATATCAGGAATCAGGTGTGTTGTCTGTCAAATATCAGGTATCGGTTTCAGTGTCTGTGATATGTCAGATATCAGTCGTCGAGTCTAACAAGAGATCCTACATAAAGAAACTGTTGAGGCATTTGTGTTGCTACGAGTTTTGTTTCCTGGAAATCGACCATCATGAAATGATATGAAAACATGAAATGACGTGAAAGCATGAAATGACATGAAAGCATGAAATGGCATGGAAACATGAAATGGCATGGAAACATGAAATGGCATGGAAACATGAAATGGCATGGAAACATGAAATGGCATGGAAACATGAAATGACATGCAAAATAGACTTAAATAACATAAAAAATAGGCTGACATTAAAATTTTGAGGGACTTCAATTTCCACAGTAATAAACCACCAATCAATGCTGAAAGAAAGATTAAAAAGTGAAGCAGCCTATTGCACAGACACGTCAGCTCATTGGAGCAGCAGTTCGTGTACATTGTTCAAACCATAATACTGAAATAAGCTGTACCTCAAATGTTCACTTCAATAAAAGACAATGTAACGAATGTAAATTCATTAAAACCCAAACCGTTTGACCATTGATAGTGTGCTTTGTTTACTAGTCACTGCTGTATACTTGGGCCCTCTTAGTCTTCATATGTAGCAATCTCTTCACTATAGTAGCGTTCTTTAACCTAATATAAAGCAATCTCTTCACTATACTGATGCCCTCTTAACCCTATACATTGCACGCACTTACAAAAATACAGCTTTAACTATATTAATGACTCTAACATAATCTGCTCTATTGTATACCTTTAACAATAACACTGGTCAGATAACATTGTGCACTGTATGCAAACAGTTGTTGTTGTTGTTGTTTTTTTTTTGGGGGAGGGGGGGGGGCTCCAACACCGCTTCATATTCCTGCTGTATACCTTTTACCAGAACACTAACCAATGAAGCGCTATACTGTATACCCTTCACTAGAACATGAACCAAATAACGCGCTTTGCCGTATACCTGTCACTAAATCACTATTGACGAGACACGAGTTGCTATACAATTACGTCATCCAGCTGAAGCTACGTCATATTGATGCTATATTTTTGCTTTTCGCCACTCCATTGGAGCAGGTCATAATTCTGTACAAATGTTCACACCTCAGTAGCCAGTTTGAAAGGGTGGATACAAAAAACAAACTACAACAACATCGAACATTGACACAGAGGCGACATTTGATGACAAGATTTAAGATACAATGACAGTCTGGAATGCCGTAAGCTAAGTATATAATACCAAAGTTTATCACATTCATTGAGTAGTGGAGCAAACTTCGCACAATGCTTGATGGAGATTTTGTTTAAAAATTTAGCTGGTGTGACGATATTATATCAAAGTTTTTATTTTTTTATTTTTTATTCCGGTCTGCCAACTCTCAAGACACACTGGGGTGACTGCGTAGTGTGTAGACACACTGGATTGACTGTGTAGTGTAGCAATGTCAAATGCCCTTTTTTTTAATTTTTTTTTTTTATACCCTGTTAGCCTATTGGAACAAATTAAAAAAAAAAAAACCACCGAGCTCCTTTGAAAAAACTTAAGGCCTATCAAGATTTTCCAAACACATGGAGTTCCGTTTTGGCAGACTCCGTCAGGTTGGACAGAACCGTGTACCACAGCCTCTCAGACTCCTCGGGGCGCCACTGACTCACGGCCAACAGCTTGCAATCGGCGCCCTTGCTTTCGAAACACGTTTTAGCCACGTCGAATTTTAAAGTCAAAACCCCCCTCATGTCAACGAACTTCGTCCCCCCGACCGTGGCCGGTAAAATGCCAAACAGATACACGTCATCTATCCAGAAGAACGGGTTGAGCCGAGCCGCGTTGAGCATCGGTCGGATGAGGTCACCGGTCAAAATGACCATGTACCCGTTGCAGTAATCAAAAGGGTAGTACTTGTAACCTTTGAACTCGTCCTCGTGGACCACCCACTTCCCTTTCCCGCGGACGACGACGCTCGTCCCGCTTTTCCTCACGTGGCACGAGATCACGCGAGATCTGTTGGAGACCTCGGGCAGAACCTCGCGGACGAGCTTGAACGGGTTCAGGAAGACGTCGTCGTCGATCTTGATGACGACCCGGGCCAGGGGGCAGTGCTCGGATATCCAGCGGAACCCCAGCACGCCCTTGTGGGTCAGGTTGTGGTAGGAGTCGATGAACCGCCCCTGGACGATGTCTTTGTTGATCACGGCCTCGTCCTGAATCTGCTTGGTGGCCGTCGGGTCGGAGGTGCGCCCCAGGAGAAAGACGAGGCGGTGCGTGAGGTGGCCGAACAGACGCTTGCTGCCGTAGGTTTCCCTGATGGCTCGTCGTCGGGCGAAATATGCGGTAGCGCTGTCGGAGGAGAATTCATTAAGAAATATGAGGAATTAATTAGAATTCATTAGAAATATGAGGAGTTAATTAGCATTCATTAGAAATATGAGGAGTTAATTAGAATTCATTAGAAATATGAGGAGTTAATTAGAATTCATTAAGAAATATGAGGAATTAATTAGAATTCATTAGAAATATGAGGAGTTAATTAGAATTCATTAGAAATCTGAGGAGTTAATTAGAATTCATTAGAAATATGAGGAGTTAATTAGAATTCATTAGAATTCACCAGAAATAAGGAGAATTCATTGGATTTCACCAGAAATAAGGAGAATTCATTGGAAATAGGGAGAAATAATCAAGAATAATCGGAATTAATTAGAAATATGGGACATTAAGAGTAATAATAAGGAAAATGGGAGTTAATTAGAAGTAAGGCCATGGAATTATTTCATGATTACGTTTACTATAGAAATGTAAATATAATCCCCCCAGAATAAATAAATAAATAAACAAATAAATTGTGATCCCTTGTATGGTACGACTTAGATTTTAATTAAACAAACCTTTTTAAAAAAAATGGTTTTCGTATAAATCATTGATATGCATTTATGTAATTGAACGTGCGTTATCATTTATGTGATTGTAGCAACTGATTTTTGGTATGGGAATGGTTTTCATCAAACTTAGTGCATGTAAAACTTAATAGACTCAAGATGTATTTAAACCCAATTATGTCGCAAATACAAAGCACATGACAACAGCTGCACAATTAATCTCCACACCAAAACACACAAATCATTAACACCCACCTCCCTCTTGAAAAACAGGAAAAACTGATTTTTAGATGTTGGGGGTGGGGTTGAAAATTTCAAAGAATGTGTTGTCGTCGGCAACAAATCTATGAAAGGATGGCGGAAAGTGGGTCAGTTAGCATCTTTTGAAAAACAGAACAAACTGCTTTTTTGTGAAGTCGGGGGGAAAAACGGAAAGAATGTGTCATCATCGACAACTAATCTATGTGCCAAATTTTAGCTCGATAGGATGACGGAAATTGGGTCCAGTAGCCTACCGAAGAATTTTTACCACACACGAACACAAGTGAAGTTAATATAAAGGATTTAAAAACAGCTTTTAAACAACTTTTCCATATACAGTGCCACATTTAAAACAATTGAAACCCCTTTCCTCAACACATCTCACCTCTCTCTCTCCCTCCCCCCTCTCCCCCTTCTCACTCTCTCTCTCTCTCTCTGACACATGTTAAAATTACCTGTGCACAATAATGAGGTAGTCCACTTCCTGGCCAGCTGGACACACGGTGACTGAGTTGATGAGGTACTCCGAGTTAAGACTGATGGGGTAAAGGGATCCTTTGACCCCCTTCTCGCGTGACTCCTCCTCGCTGGAAGAGGAGTTGTCTGTCTTGTTCCCCTTGGCCGAGTCCCTGGCGCTCAAGCTGTTGAGACGGAGCAGCTCCTCTCCACCGCGGGGGATGTTGAACACCAGGTCCACAGACCCGTCTGGGTTCTCACTGTCATTGAAAGAATCATTGCTTTAGTAACATGGGAACTGACACGTGATGGGGTGGAGTGGCGAGGGTGGAGTGAAGAGGGTGGTGTGGTGAGAGTGGAGTGACGAGGGTGGAGTGACGAGGGTGGAGTGACGAGGGTGGAGTGACGAGGGTGGAGGGACGAGGGTGGAGTGACGAGGGTGGAGGGACGAGGGTGGAGTGACGAGGGTGGAGTGACGAGGGTTGATTGACACGAGGGTGGAGGGACGAAGGAGGAAAAAGTTGGATCGGTTGTAGAATAGTGTGAGGGTGGAGTGACGAGGGTGGAGGGACGAGGGTGGAGTGACGAGGGTGGAGGGACGAGGGTGGAGTGACGAGGGTGGAGTGACGAGGGTTGATTGACACGAGGGTGGAGGGACGAAGGTGGAGTGGCGAGGGTGGAGTGACGAGGGTTGAGTGAAGAGGGTTGAGATAATAGGGTTGAGATAATAGGGTTGAGATAATAGGGTTGAGTGACGAGGGTGGAGTGACTAGGGTGGAGAAAATGATAGGTTTCATATAGCAGTTCGGGTTTCATATTATTATATATTTTATAAAGACAGATTGCCTGCTTAGATTTACTTAGAGGACGTATTTCAACCAGGTAGATGGATCTTTTGGTATAATCTGTTCACCGGACCAATCCTGTTTGTTATATTTAACTAGCAGGTATATTTTTTATATATGTATAGGTTGATGTTATAAGCTCAGCTTTCGTGGAAACATAGTTTATACAGACAATAAATTATTTTTTATATAATACAATATATATATTTACACACACTCACACACACACACATATGTTCCCGGGTGGATGAGACTCGTTAACCTTGGTCGGCAACTCATCTAAGAGAAGGAAACTCTGAATTCAAACCCGGAGTTGGAGTCCCGTAAGGCGCATACAATGTCAATTCCTGCAACCGTACCCATCCCTGGTCGTCTTGACGTAGAGTCTTGCCACTGGATATGGTGGGCTCGGACGAGAGAGTGAGGTTGACGCTGCGCAACTCTTCCTCACTTTAAACAAAAGTCACCCGCGCAAGTCATCAGTCACCAGACGACTCGATGGTCATCGTCGATCCTCGACGGACGAACAACA